GTGAGGAGTGACCTGACCCCTGAGGCACGCAGAAGCGAAAACTCAGATTTGTCCACTGACTCGATGAAGGCGCGGAAGCCGGCTGCCAGCCAGTGATGAAAGAGGCAACAAATGCTGCTGCATCTGCTGCAGTTTTTTCTCGTGTTCGTGTTGAGTGCCAGCACATGCACGGAACGCGACCTTGCACAGTGCGCACTTCCCAGCTCATCACAGACAAGTGGATAAGTCCGGGTGCAAGCTAAAATTGAGGGCAGGAGGGGAGCGAGATTGGCAGGGGTCTGCACGCCACCAGGGGCAGATCAACCACGACTGGCTCGACTCCGTGTCTGTGGTTTCTAGGTGGCATAGCGCCTGACCGGGTTGATGTCAAAGAGGCACCAAGCCCAGTCCCTGGCTAGACTTAGATGGGGAGACTGTTAGCCTAGGGAGCTTGCACGGGGGGCACCCAGCGAGGGCGTGCAGGTACGAGGCAGGCAGTCAGTCAGTCAGTCAGGCGGGCGTGGACTTGAGTCTTGAGCCTCCTACGGCACACAGTCCTGCGCACAATTAATTTCTCGTTCCGTCTGTGTCCTGTCCCAGAATGATGCCTGAAAGCCCCAGACCCGAACATTAGCACCTCAACCATTGAATCCGTCGGCCACCATCTGGAAGGCCATCAACGGCCGCCCCAGCTCCGTGCGGGCTCCGTGCTCGCTTCTGCTCGAGAGCTCCCCAAAGCAGCCAAACGCGCACGGATGAGAAACTTGACCCCTGCACGCCTCGTCCTGCTAGCTGCATATCCGGAGCCCACTGGGAGCAATTGGTGCTGGTCTTGACTCTGGTGGGCACCTTGATGTGCGTCCGGTCCGCTTGGCCTGACACCTCTTGTCACGCTTTCCTTCGCTTCTCATGCCAGATGCACTCCTGAAATCTTGCAGCTCGACGTGTGTGTCGCAACAATCTCAATCTCCTCCTCACTTCATCCCGAGACCTCGCAGCGATCGGCATCCACTCCTCGGTGTGGTGTCGTTCTTCTATCTGGCAACGGGCTTCGACCGTTGACTTTCCTTCTCCTCCTTCACTCTCTTGGGCCTATCTCTGTGCCACAACTTGTTCGTTGGGCTTGACTGGTGAAGGAAAAGAGAGATACCCATCGGCAGAGGTACCTCACGTCCGCCTGGTACGGATATTGGCCAGGGCCGCCCATCCCAGTTGGAAACCATGGGCCCGTCTCTGAGGGGTCATACCTCAATGACTTCAATGGCTGCTCGTCCCCAGACGCGCGACACAAACCGCCCAGCAACCCGAGAACAAACCGTCGACAATGCTATCGTCCCCAGCCGAACCTCGTCTCTGCACTCCCGCATCACCCAGCCTCTACCATCGACGTTGGCAAAGTCGAACAATCGACCTACACCCAAAACCTTGACCCATGCGTATATGGTTTGTGGTGTTGGAAGAGAACCTTCGCAATGGGTCAAAGCCCCCGCCCCGTCTCACGGCAAGATTCAACACATGAAGGGAGCTGTCGGGCAGTTCTGGCTCCCCGAGATTCTGGGCAGCAGCCCGAGGTTGGAAACGGATAACGAAATCGCCAGAGCTCTCCACAGTGCCATGAGGGTAGGTGCTACAGACCAAAGAGGTACCATCTTCCTTACTGACCGGTTCGCAGGCCTGTTTCCCTCATGACGTGGAAATCTGCACCGGCAGGAGCCAGCCACATTGTGTGCACCACTCGTTCGTCCTCCAGCAGGATTCCCAACACACTTTGTACGGCATTGCTCTGCGAGTATGGTCACGAGCCGACGAGAAACGCGCAGAGACGATTCGTGATCTCCGCCGCAAGACAGAAACAGACTACAGAGACGTCGCGGACGAAACATACTGGATTCCATACTGTCTGAGTTTTCTCTCGAGATACCCTCTGTACAACCTGTTGGGCGACTACTTGCGAGGCATGTGGATTCACTGGAACAAGGCTACCAACCTGTTTCACGCTGAAGAGGTGTCGAGAATCCTCAGCTTCCCTGCTCCGCGACTCAACGACTTGGTGCGTATCGACATGAAGGACTATGCCCTGTGCTACCAGTTCCCATCTTCGCCAACCGGCTTCCAGAATTTCAACATGTGGCCACTGTACTGCTGCTTGAGTATTCCCAACATCGTGGGGCTTATCGAGGCTGCTGTTTCACCCACTCGTCGCATTATCCTCACCAGTCACCACCCCGCCATGCTCACCATCGCAGCAGAAACCATCAGATTCTGCGTTCGGGTGTACGAGTGGAGCGGGCTGTATGTGCCAGTCGTACATGCTCGAAATGCCAGTGAGATGGTTCAGGAGCCTGGGCCCTACATTTTGGGTATCACCACCGAGTGCCGATCGCTCTTCCAGCCTCCCAAGGATGCCCTGCTGGTCGATTTGGATCGCAACTTGGTCATTACTGATCATCCACCGAATGTTTTGACAGCCGGCCAGCGAACCAAGTTCATCAACCGGCTGACTCAGGCCCTGAACAGCGATGTCGAGATCAGCGGCGTGCCACAGCATCTGAAGTCTGCCTACGGAGGTGGCAAGCTCATCCCTGCTGGTCAGATCATTGTCCTGCGCGGCGAGGTCGAGAGCGTGCAAGATCCCTCATGGTGGAACCAGGACGCCGTTATGGCGGTCATGGATCACGTCTGCGAGAAGCTAGGCCGCAACACAGGTGTCAAAGCTCTATTCGGTGGTTCGATGAAAAAGCCTCTCATGACCAAGATCTCCATGAGACACATGAACGAGATAGTTCGAGAACGGAATCAGTACTCTCGTGACGCTCTCGAAGCATGGCAAGACTTCATCAACCTCAAAGGACGGATGGATACCGAGCTTGCAAAGGTCGCCAAGCGGAACAACTACCTGGAGCAGGAAGTCGAGACGTGGAAGCTGCAGTTCCAGAAATTCCAGGCTTTCGTCGAATCCCTCAACAAGGAGTTGGCTGAACTCCGTGTCAAGATCGAATCTCACAAGCGTGAGAACCGCAGACTTACCGGGCTCATCGACCAGCAGAAGGAAGATGCGGCCCGTCTGGCTCTTCGGTTGTCTGGCACAGAGAGGCAGCGTGACAATGCTCTCGAAGCACTTGTTCTGCAACAGGGCATCGCCGAGGACCTCGAGAAGGAGCGGAGCCGGAACAGAAAAGAAATTGCAGCCCTGCAACACACCAACCAGACCCTGCAGAGGCAACGCGACGAAGCCCAGCGGGTGGTTCTCCATCTCCGATCTCTCATCACCGGTCAGACCCATCACATGGAACACATCGTTCGTTCTATCGGGTCTGCCTCCGAGCTGGCCGAGTACATCCACGAAGGGTACGAAGACGAGGTTGAAGAAGAAGATGACGAGGAGCAAGACGAGATGACTGAAGAAGGGGAAAGACTCAAGAATGTCACCAAGCGAGCGTCGTTGCGGCAGTCGAGATCGGCATCAGTGGACGGCCAAGATGTCACACCTCAGATGGAGACTAAACTCCTGGCTAGCAGCAAGCGGGCCAGCAAGCGCTACTCCGGGCTCAGCATGTCCGATGTTGCGGATCGTCATCTCCGTGACAAGACTGATGCAATTGCGGATATCATTCGCAACATCAGCGAACAGTGCGCTGCTGCGGTCGAGGGTCTTCAGCTTGCCAACGAAGCCGCCGAAATCGAGGATGATGAGCAGGGTGAGGGCGACGAAGCTGGTGCCCCTTCCTCGGCGAGCCACACCCGACAGAATAGCGACAATTTGTCGCCAATTGACCAGGCTGCGGCCGCTGACTCTCGAAGTTCAGGCACTGGTCATCTGACACCGCAGAGCGAACGAAGCTCGATTCCACCGACTCCAGATCTGGTCCATCAAAGATCTAGTACGGCGCTGAGCATGGCTAGCACCGCCCCCACAAACTATACCAACCGGGAATCTTTGAACCACAACACTCGCGGGCCTGAGCGGACCAAGATCGTCGAGGACGAAGACGCCGAGCGTGCCCACGCGACTGCTGCTAACGGGAGCGGGAGCGTCAAGGGCGAAGCTGCTGCCGACGAGGTTGTCAAGCAACCTGTCGGTCGAGGCGCGGTCCTCAGCCGAGTCTTGGAAGCATGAAGCGACGATAGTGACCGACACATTTTGCATGGCGTGGATCTAGGTTCGGTGGCAAGGAGCTTTGGCGTAGTGCCCAGCCCAGACGGCTTTCTGTTTACTTGTCTGTTTCGAGGGAATACGGAAGGGCCTCAATCTGTCATGGATCACAGGGCAATGCTTGGGCTTTCGATGTTTGCTTTGTGAAGTATATTTTGTAATTCTTGGTGTGGCTGTTATTGGCTATCTACCACATTTTTGTCCTCTATCTGCCCAGGACTACCGATTACGTCTCAATAAGATGGCTCGTTATTCATTTGAGGCTTGATCTTCTGCTGACAACGGCTAACACTGTGTATTGTATCGAGCATGGCAAGATCGACGGTGCGTACCACTCAGTCCATGGTGCCGAGGGCCGAAGACGAGCACTCCGCATCACGCCGTACGAGATATCCCAGATCACAGGCTTTCCGAATTTACTCCACGGAGCTGGAAGACTAGACACCTTCATAGTGAAGCCGCGAGTACGACGCGTAGTCGCTGTGGCGGATCGAGTCAGTCCTGAACAATTGCCATCAAAAGCAAATGCTGCATTGTTGTGTCGAGGATAAGTTCGCATCGACTGCACTATAGAAAGCTACCAACCGCAAAGATTTATCCTGCCGCCGTTGAAGGAGAGAAGTCTGGCAGACAGAACAGAGGCTCACGACGGGCTGCACGTAACCTGGCTGAGGAGATATATTGATCGGCCTTTGATCTAGAAAGGCATCTCATCCATCTCCGAGCGCCTGAGCGCAGAAGGGCAGAAGGGCAGAAGGACTGGACACATTCACTCACACCATCTACTACACAACCAAACCAGACTCACTCACTACTTCCACTCCTCTGCTTCAGTCACACTCCCTACTTCCACTCCCCTCGTTCAAAAATGTCACCCATAACCCCTGAAGAGAAGACGACTCCCGCCGCCGCCCTCCCCCATGGAGACCAACACGTCGCGCTCATCGGCCTCGGCGCCATAGGCATCTCCTTCCTAGCCCTGCACCTCACATACACGTCGGCCACCATCTCCGTGTACGACCCGCGGCCGGACCTGCAGGACCACGTGGCGAGCATGCTGCCACTATACATGCCTCGAAGGGCCACAACAGGATCCGACACAGACACAGACAAAGACTTTAACGCAAACGCCAACAACAACGCCAACAGCGACAGCAACAGCGACTCCGACATCTTATCCTCGCTAGTCACCTCACGCCGCCTCCGCTTCTGCACCTCCTTGGGGGATGCGGTCTCCCGCGCGACCATCATCCAGGAACAAGGCCCCGAGACGCTCTCGTTCAAACAATCCACCTGGTCCGAAGTGCTGCGGCACACAGCGTCGACCACGACCACGACCACGCCTCACCTATGGTCCAGCACCAGCGGGATTCCGGCCTCGAAGCAGCTCGAACACTTGCAGCAGGAGGAGCAGCAGCAAGACGCTGTCTCGACCTCGGACGCTGTCTCGATCTCACGATCGGCCCGCTCGCGCCTCCTCGTCGTCCACCCCTTCAACCCTCCCCACCTGATGCCTCTCCTGGAACTGGTGCCCTCGCCGCACACGTCGGCCGAGGCCGTGACGTTTGCGGAGTCGTACTTTCGCGCCGTCTCCTCGGTGCACCGCCCCATCACGATCAAGCGCGAGACGGCCGGGTTTGTGGCAAACAGGCTGTCGTTCATCCTGTTCCGCGAGGCGTGCAGTCTCGTGGCGCGCGGCGTGTGCACCGTCGAGGAATTGGACGAGGTCGTCCGCGCGAGTTTGGGGCCTAGGTGGGCCGTCGGGGGTCCCTTTCGGATGTATAATTTCGGGGGTGGACCTCGGGGCATGGCTGGGTTTCTTGACAATATCGGCGGGGCGATTCGTGGGGTTTGGGAGGATGTTGATCGGCAAGGTCGGCAGGGGGGGAGTGTTATGATGGAGGGGATGGGTGTACACGAAGGTGAGCACGAAACCGGGGGTGAGAGTGTACACGGAGGTGGGCGTGACGAGGAAGAAGAAGCAGCAGCAGTTCGTGATTGGAAGAGGATCGTTACGGAGCAGACTGTCCAGGCGTATGGCGTGCCTTCGTCTCAGGATGTCAGGGCGAGGGATCACGCGTTGGGTGAGGTTGTTGGGCTGCAGGTGAGGCTTGAGGCGGAGGGGAAAGAGAAGGAGACGAGATAAGTGAGATAAGGTGAGATGAGATGAGATGGGACGAGTCCACATGAAAGGGAGTGGAATGTCATGGGATGGGATGGGATAGGATACATTAATGGTACTGTACTCGTCACGGCGGACCAGGACAAGACGCGGCCCGGCACGACAAGTCAAGTATGGTCTTGGTCGTGTAGCGAGTGACACTTGTATAGCTACTATATGTACAGCTTCCCGGGACGATGAGGACGACAAGATCATGTCCCTCTGGGGAACGAGGTTCCGCGAAATGCCACTCGTATGCACGGTTGCGAAGGGATCCCATCATGAAGCACATCGTCGGAACTATATATATGCGAGTTCCAAAGCAGTGCACAGTACCATGCAGGATGCCCAGGTGATCAATTCAATGCTCTGGTCTACAGTACTTTATATCAACTATAGATACGCCCCCACCGCTTCTGCTCAGCGGAGAGCTTGTCCTCTCCTCCTGTCCCTACCTCCCTACCACCCGGTCAATGGAAGACATATACGTTGCCCCCCTGGTCTACACTGACTACACATCCGTATGGCTTCCTCAACATGACCACATCCGTGATGGCATCCAAATGTGTCCGGAGCAACTGCTGCTGCGCCGCACTGATAATGGTATTCCTCGGTGGTTTCATTGCCTGCGGAGTGGACGGCGTGGAGGAGCCGCTCGCATTTGCAGTTGCATTCGTTGTGGCATGAGGATTCGGAGTCCCGCTGGACATCTGCGTAGGAGTATCTGCTCTTCGCTTAGGCGTGGGTCGACTACTGTTGCTGGGGGCTTCCTCGGCAATGTTGAGTTTCTCTTGAACAAGCGTGATTTGGGCGCCTGCGCTGAGGCTCAGTGGGTGAGAGACCTCGTATTTGTATTTGGCCTTGACGCTGAGGCTCGTGGCTGCGGCTTCCTCAGAGTCATGGAGTTGCGGTCCAGACACGATGAAGCTGTTCTCCGGTCGACCAATGTCCCAATACCGAAGAGCGCGGTCGGCCCCGCCAGTGAAGAGAATGGCGTGCTTGTTCGGGCTGTCGGCATGAGAGCTTGCCGTATAGTCGGTGGCGATGTACATGGCGAGAATGGGCAGTACTGCCGCTGCGGTTGGAGTGGACACAGGGATCTTTTTCTTCGTGGGCGAGCCATCGGCTGTGTCACCGGGGTCGTGCAATCGTGGTTCGGTCAAAGTGGTGTCCTCTGAAACTTGCCTAGCGAAGCGAGCTAGAATCCTCTCGCTGTTCTCTTCATCCGGCGACCATGCTTCGTATGGGCGGGACTTCCCACTCCTCGGACTGAAAGTACTGGGCCGCATCACCTCCCGACAGACCATCTTCTCGACATCCCAGACGCTGATTTCTCCGCCAGCACTGACCATGACCCATCTCCCGTGACCTTTGGTTGGATGGATCAGGATTCGGTCAATTCTCGAGTCTGTCTGAATGCCGAAACTGCGCAGATGCAGCTTGAATCTGAGGTCCCAAAGATCCAGAATGCCCTGGTTCGTTCCCAGAAGCAACCAATGGTGTTTCCGATCCACACAGAACGTGGTTGGGGTGCCGTGATGGACTGGATTATTCATACTGTGGATGGTTTCCATGTTCTTCAGATCGATGGCGAGAATGCGCCCTTTGTTGGTCGCAGAGAGCAGGATGGACTGCGAGCTTGGTGTACGGTAGTGGTAAAGCCACACCGCATACTCTCGAATTGACTCATGGCTGCCGTCCACGGTATAGTTGTCAGGGATGGTGTAGTCTCGAACGAGACTTGGCTTCCCATAGCGAGAAGTCTCCCCACCCTCAACGCTTCGATAGTCGACTCTCACAGCGTGAATACTGCCATCGTCTGCACCACTGAGGAATGTATGAGTTCCTTCTACAAAGCAGAGACTCTTGGCCTTGACCCCGTCCGCACGGCGGTGGGTATACCGAGACCGTGAGGTGACGTTCTTCTCCAATCTGATGGTGTCCCAAATCTTGCACGTTCCATCATCTGACGCTGTTACGAAGAATGCATGATCAGGCGCAGCACATACCCGGTTGATGGCGGCCGTATGTTCTGAAAACTGGGTTAGCAGCTGTCCTGAAGGTCTCCATGGTTCCATGCGGAACTTTTCTTCTTGCTGAGCAGCCCTTGAAGTGGTTTGCTGCAAGATGTCTGTAGCTCTCCTGATGGGTGTTCTGGTCTCGGCGAAAGGTCGATTGCCGCCAAAGTCCATTTGGTCGATCGGGAAGTTTTCCAGGAAGTGATTGTCCAGAAGACGGAGGACGTTTGCGTCACTGCCCTGGTAGGAATGATTGGGTTCGAAAAGGGGCGTTCGAGTACCACTCTGTGGCCGGGGCGAAATCGATCTTGATTTTGCAGCTGCGTTAGCCGTCACAGACAAAGCTGATGGCCCTGCCGTACTGCGACGGTGCAACGCCCCATCTACCTCGACTCTGCCAAACGCGTTCTCGGGCAGGGTGGATATTTCCGCCTCTGCTTTGGTTGAATCGGCGCGATTCATCAGGTTCAAGCCGCTGTTTCGATGTCTCAGTTCGAGGGGTGTGTTGCGCCGCAGGGATAGTTTATCTCCACTCAGAGGTGTCCCACTGGAGACACTTGGTCTGGAAGATACACTTGCAGTCTCAATCGCTATCGCGGGGCCTGCCGTAGCGCGGACACCTGAAGGCTTCTGACTTTGAATATCCATCGGTTGTGTCGATGGCGTAGCTGTGCCACTGGACTGCTGCGTAGGTGATATGCGTCGTAACATATGATCATCTATGCTCGTTGAGGCGTCGAGGAGTGCGTCCGCAAGACTGTGTCGCTCATCCCGGCGTGACATCTGCTGAGCTCGCCTGGGCCCACCTGTGCTCTCTCTGAGCGGCTGGCGCGAGTCGAAGAAGACGTTCTGAGGTGTGACCTCGATTTGGTTGAGAGCGATGATATTATTAAGCATGCGATGTCGCTGATCGGCATCTTCTGACGGTTTATGCCTGGAGACTTTGAGTATATACTCCCGGAGTGCTAGGAGTTTGATTTCGTCGTCTGCTGTCATACCAAGATTCCGAAGACTTTCCAGAGAGATCTGATCATCCTTGTCTTTCTGCGACGGCGGTATCCTGGTCAACAGTCGCTTCGTAAGTGCTGATGGGTTTTGCGGCGTCGTAGGATCCGATAATGTCAATGCAGCGTCACGACTTGCCGCCGTCCAGAACAGGCTGGTTGCTTTCCTCGCCGCCCAATTAATGGCCGAGTCAAACACGATCTTGGGCAGAGGTCGCTTCAGATTGTCCAGTACGCGCTCTTCTGTCAGGGCAGATATTGACCCTTTCAAAAATGGCTGTAGGATAGGCAGGATGATGCAGTACTGATCAGCTGCTGGGATATACTTGGCTGAGAGCACAATGAATTGGACAGCGCTCTCCCGTACCCAAATGCTTGGGTGAATCGAAAACCTGGCCGCGATGCTGACCAGTTCCCAGGTCGTGCTCTTCTGCAAAAGGCCCAAGGCAGCCATCCGAGCCAGTGACCGAAAGACTTTCTCAACCACAAAGCTCTCTGGATCCGTCAAAGACCCAACCATCACGGGCAAGATGAATTTCTCCAGGCTCGTAGCTCCTACATAGGAGGCAATCCCCACGAGCGCCTCGAAGAAAGAACATCTCAGAATCCAGTCCTTGTCGTTGAGGTAAGTGTTCAGATGCGTTAAGATGACGTCGCTGGATTGTTGGCTACCGAAAAAGATGCATAGGCGAGATATCGACCCCAGTAAGGCTCGTCTTACCGAAGGTTCAGGGTCTGTGATCAAGGCGACTGTTGAGTCCTCAAAATGTGGAAGAAACTCGCGTCTGCTGTAGTCATAGAGAGCCTGATACGATTGTTGGGGAGGCAGTTCATCTTCCCGTAGAGAAGGGAGCCGCCCGTCAGCACGGATAGCATGAACCATGTCAAGGACCCTTTCAGCTGACAATGCCAGGGAAGCCAGACACGATGCATATGCTGACCGTACCAGGATACTTTGTTCACCAGAATGACCAGCCGCTAGACTCTTCAACCTCGGGAGAATGTATTCAGGAAAGATGTACGCATTGATCGGGGAGACGACTTCAACCATCTCGAAGACCGAGGTCATGGCATAGATTGCCGCCGCACGAACCACATCCGACGGGTCACTCAGCAACCCAACAATATAAGGCAGTATCCGGTCCAGCTTGGCTTCATCTGGGAGACGTTCGGCAAAAGCAACCAACAGATCGCATGCCTTCAGACGTGCCGATGCCTTTGCAGTGTTTCTGAGGCTGGCAACCACAAGCGTGAGAAACAACAAGCTTCCATCGTAGAGGCTGGGGTCTGCGTCTGTAGTTTTCACCTTGTTGTTGGCCCTCATCGTCAAAGGGGATTTCGAGGATGACATAGAGTTGCTTGGACCATAGCCGAGAAAAAAGGAGATCTTGTCGAAATCATAGTAGACTCGCTCAATCTTATCATCGAACTCGTTGAGGCTATCAAGAGTCAGCTCCACAGGTTTCAAGGCTGTCGCCGACCGCGTGAGGTCAAGCATGTATTGATGCAGAAAGCTGTAAAAGTACTCGGGAAAGATCTTCGAGCGGTAAAACGACAGGTGCTGCTCTGCACTGTATCGCTTCTCGGGATCCAACGCGATCATGTTGAGGATCATCGCTCGAACTTCTGGATCATCGATCTTGCTGAGATGAGTGTGCTCGGGGTTGTAGTCTCCGGCGCGGTATTTGAACAGTTGACTCAAGGAGAAGATGGGACCCTCGAGGAATATCTCGGCGATGACACAGCCGACACTGAAGATGTCCATGGCCCAGTTCAATTCTCCCTGTTCATCCGGCATCTCGGTCGACGTAAATCGCTCCGGAGCAATATAACACGTCCGTCGACTCGACGTATCAAAGTAGAAGGAGAAGTCGGCCGGGTTGTCTTCTGGCAAGTTCGTAGGCTTGAAGGAGGAGGAGAAGTCAGTCAGATAGAGCCAGTTCCAGGAGGTGACGAGCAAGTT